TACTTTATAGAAACTTGCTATAATGTGACAAAATATTACCTAAAATCTGTTTTAAATCATTGTATTTTACCATGTTAAAATAGTTACTCAAGCTTGAAGTCTATAGATTTTCATTTTTTTTATCTTCCTTATTCATTTAACAAATATGTAGTGAGTTGCTACGACATGTAAGACACTGTTCTAGGCTCTTGGCATATGTCAGTGATCCAAAGAGACAAAGATCTCTGAACTTGAGAAGTTCATATTTCAGCAGTGGGAGACGGTACATCTCAGAAAATAGTAGTGCAAGGTGAAGGGTGCATGGAAATATTTAGATGTGGTGAGGGAAGAAGATTGTAGAAGTAAGTAGGATAATTAGGGTAGGAACCATCAAAAACTGACAATTGAGCAAAGACTTGAAAGAAATAGAGGTTTAGTAATACCTGTATCGGGAAGAGCATTCCAGACAGAAGGAAAGGTTGGTGCAGAGACTCAAGGCAGGAAGGTAGATGGTGGGAGTAGTGATGGGAGTACTGATGCTATCCTAAGGACTCTGACAATTCCTTATGTGTAAAGTAGGGAACGATTGGGTAGACGTTGCAGGACCTAATTCATCTTTCAAAAGAGTCACTCTGACTGTTGTGTTGAGAATAGACTCCAGGTGGAGGACAATAGTAAATGTTGGGTGACCAGTTAAAAGTCTATGGTGAGAATTCAATGAGAGACAATATTGGCTCAGGATGGGGTGGCAATAGTGGAGGGGTTGATAAGTGGTCAAATTCTGCACAAATTTAGAAAATGCATACAGTCTGGTAGATAAGACACAGGATGTAAGAGAAAACTAGGAGTCAAGTCTAAAGTTTTTGGCCTGAACAATTAGAGAAATGTAGTTATGAATAGCCAAGATTGAGATGGCTGCTAGTAGAATCAGGTTTAGGGAGAAAGATGAAAAGTTCATGTTAGAAATGCTGATTTTGAGAGGTCTATTAAATACCCAAGTAGAAATATTGAGGAGGCAGTTAGATGTCCGACTGGAATTAAGAAGAGAGAATCAGGCAGGAAATGGGAATGTTGCATGTATTTAGGGTACTTTATGGCTAGTGTCATGTTGAAGAATGGTGTGAAGGACTGAATGGGGGTTGTAGAAGGAAAGGTGGCCAGATGCAGAGCCCCTGAAGTTTTTTCTTGTCTGTTTCTAGGTACTTTTATTCAGTAATCAACAAATCTGAAAATTGTATATTTGAAAAATATTTCATTTTGTCCACCTTATATTATCTTAACTGCTCCTAAGGTCTCTTAGGACCGGTGTGAACTATACAGTAACACTTGGGAAGTAGACAAAAACACATGTCTTTCCCTAACACTGTTTGGAGATAATTGTCTCCATTTATGATAGGAAAATTAAAACATCATAAGATTGAGAACAGAAATGTAAACGTGCCATAGTCTACTATTTGACTGCTTCCTGCACAGTAACTAGTTTCCTGACATTAGTCATGAAAGATAAAACCATTTAAAGTTCACATTCAGATAAAGTTTTACATAAAATAGTGGTGTTTTTTTGAGGAGGGAGGGTAGAGGGTAGTGATTGCAGGCACCAAAATGGAAAGTCAAAAGAGAGAAGGTAATTATGTAAATTGTGTTTCTTGAAGGCATTTAGAGTTTTTAATTCACATACTCTAAGTATCTGAAAGCACATTTAGTTCCTGTTTGGAGAGATGAAAGCCTTGCCATAGCTTCATCTGCAGGCTTGTGGCAATGTTAGTTCTCCCGTGTGTACGTGCACTGAAGAGTGGAAGTGGCTGAGTGGGCAGTTGGCAACCATTCATTGCATTGATTGCAGTCATTCATAAAACCCAGCGGCACTGAGGGTGGAGTCAGGAGGAGCATTCCCCTGAGCCAGTTACAGAATGTCTTATTTGCATAAATCTTCAGTGATGCGTCAGTGATGAGGGAATGCTCACATGCAGTTAGAAGACTCTTTAAGAGCTCCAATCTGATAAATCTGAGTAATTAAAGACTTTGCAAAACATAAGAGGTCAAATGCTTTAAATTCCTAGTCTCTCAATCCGTGGTAATTCTGGGAAGTCAGCCTTGTGGTGGCGTTTGTGGCTGAAGGAGTGAATTATACCCGTAGACTGACCCCTTAAAAGCTGCAACATACTGAAATATCATTGTTGTGCTTCTTAAAGTATGCGGGATTTATATTATTATAGCAAGTCTAATGCATAGGAGATAGCGGAAATTGCTGAGGTTACACAGTTTCCATACATTAAAACTGTCAAAACTATTAAAGGTTTATCTCTCAGAACTATAATACAGTTCAATTATAATTTTAAAGAAATGGTAATCCACACAAGCTAACAAAAAATCTTGTGAGTGTATTATACTCAGATTTGTCTTACTCTGAGTGTGGAGTACTTTGTTCTTTTTCTTTCTTACATCTAGAAAAGATTTTAGCTAAAACAGAAATCAAATTAGAAAACACAGGCTATCTATTGCCATGATTTAAAATCACCCCAAATTGGGTAAATAATTACCAACCTGAAACAATTAGTTTTCTCCCTTCAAAACACAGATTGAATAGCTAACTACATTGCTCTAGTCTTGAATATTTGTGTTATTTTCCTGTTTTATTCATTCAAGTCAGATTAATTCTAAATATATTGCTCTTGAATATTGATGTGTTTATTTTTATTATTCAATAACACTTTAAAGTTAAAAGCTTTGAATGGAGTTTTTATCAGAAAGATTCTATAACACACATAGACCAAAACAGTATGTCAACTTGTAATTTTAAACTAAAACCACTGGGTACTTGAGATTAGACAAGAATTTTCTTAGAAAGATAGGACTTTTTAAATTTTTATTTTATTTTTGTTTTATTTTTTATTTGAGACAAAGTCTTGCTCTGTTGCCCATGCTGGAGTGCAGTGGCACGATCTCAGCTCATTGCAACCTCCGCCTCCCAGGTTCAAGCAGTTATCCTGCTTTAGCTTCCCAAGTAGCTGGGACTATAGGCATGCACCACACACCCAGGTAAAAGCTGTATTTTTTTTAGTAGAGATGGGGTTTCACCATATTGGTCAGGCTGGTTTTGAACTCCTGACCTCAACTGCTCTGCTGGCTTCAGCCTCCCAAAGTGCTGGATTACATGTGTGAGCCACCATACCTAGCCAATAGGGCCTTTTAGTCACAAAAAAAAACATTTGCTTAGAAACCTACCTTTAGTGCTGCCTAACACTATATTTGTTAGAAAATGGTTACTTCAGCACATATTTTTAAAAACTCTTAAGTGGTACATTTGTTTTATTTGAAAGCACTGTATGAATACCTGAGACTTAAAGGGGAAAAAAAAGGGATGAATCAAGATTTCTCATAAATTTAATTCTTTAGAATTTTTCCAAGTTGGTATATTTCAGATATTTTCACGAATAAGTCCATGTAGATTAAAAATGCTGTATATGCTATTTTTAGTTAAGTGAGAATTGCTAGAGATTTTTGAATGCTATGAAATTTAACTTGCTGGACATTTTACCTGTGTAAGTTAGATTAAAATTTCGACGCTCAGAAATCCTAGGACACTACACTTCCTTAATAATTGCCTTCCTGAATGTTCTCAAGGCTGATGCATGATTGGTCCTCTCACGATACTGGGAAAATAACACAAGGCTTTGTGGTACCTGAGGATGTCATTGATTCACATCTTTTGACCAATTCATTGAAAGTTTAGCATGAAATCTCGAAGAACACTACTTTTTGAAACTTATCTCAAAGGGAGGGTGGGTTGAGGCTTTAAAATGGCACCGTTTTCTTTTCTTGTCATGTTACATTTTGGTTTCGAAGTCTTAATGACCTTGTTTGGAATGAGCAGTATGTGTGTACACCTTTCTGTGCATTGTGTCCATGTTTCCCTGTATCATTTCTTTCAGAAGTGGAGAAATTTGCCATGCAGCTTAAGCTCTGGGAAAATAGTTTATCTACCATTGCTTCACCAGTGATCCACTTCTGGAATAACATGACTGGCCTTAAATATGAGCAGGGTAGTCAAATCTCCAAGAAGCCTCCATGAAAGCTCTTAAGAACCAGATTCATATTTGAAGCATTCTGGATCCTAAGGGGCATTCCATTTAGCAAAGACTAAGATGTGGGCTCTAAGTTTTGTAACCAAACCGTCTCTATTCAAAGCCATGTTTATTTCAAAGCTTTAGAGGAAAAGAAACATCTGAGCCATCCAAATTCATCCTCAGATGGAGATGTTTTCTGACTTCTGCCAATAAATGTCACCAATGCTCTGTAAGCCCTGTTTACGTGAAAGTAGGAATATCTCTTCCTGCTGCCCTTTGAAGCTTTGTTATTTATTTTGTGATGGATGGCTAAGGCACAAAGACATTAAGTACATTTTTTCACATTTTGGAGGTATCTTTCTTATTTTACACACACACACACACATATACACACACACACTTTATATATGAACATTATCTTTGATCTCTTCCTCCCATCTTAGTATGAGGAAATTTTGAACAAGGGGGATGCCTTGAGGCCTCTCAGATATTTTTGTACAAACAGAAAGACCTGTGTGGTGATTGATGGTGTGAAAGAAAAGTCCATATTTTTTAGTAAAATAGCAAAAGCTACAGAATATCGGGCTCAAAATTTAACATATCAACACAACAGCTGTTCCTATTTTTAAGCTTTCAGACATCTTCATGTGGTCACACAGAGCTTTCAGTAGCTTTTCTGCTATGAGAAAAGCTGCTGACAATCATGTTATTGATGCTAAAAGGAAAGTCAAATACAGAGGCTAGCACAGATTTTATTTGGGTATAATTGAGCTTTTGGAAGCCTGAGTCAAAGATTTCCAACTCCAGGGGCTTTGCTAGGGCCCAAAGGTTAATGTTGAAGGGACTTGCAAAGATTTTCCCTTAGATTGTTTTCCAGTACCGTGTTTAATTTCTAGATGTGTTCTACCCTTTTTATAATTAATAGTGCATTGTGCTGTCTATCATGCGCCCCAGGTGTGTTGTCAGGGACATGGCGAAGCCTGCTGCCTGCAAAACACCAAGAAATGCTGAAAACCAGCCCCACCAACCTACACCGTAAGTATAGCATTGGTTTTATTGACTGAAAATGTCGTCTCTTACGCAGATCATTGGTTGCAGATTTATTCACGTTGCATGTAAGAGCAGATACTCTGGCTACTCTTGTATAATAAAAAGGCTACTGTTGAATTAGATAAAATTAGCTGAGTTCTGGATTTATTATTTTTGTTAAGTGATGTTTCTAATACCATATTGAAAGGATTAAGCTAGTTGGAGGAAAGGACAGTTTTCTTAGGGCTCTAAAGTGACAGCAGTTCTTTTTTTTGTTTGTTTTTTTGTTTGATTGTTTTAGATTTGGAATGTATATGAGCTGGAACATAATACCTCAGGGAAGTAGGGAGGCAAGGTACAGACAGTGTGCCAAATGGGGCCTGTGTGTATAAGGAAAAGGCATAGGTAGTCCATTATCCAACCTTCACACGCTATTATTTAAAGGTAATGGAAAATTTTTACAAATGGATTGTCAGCCGGGCACAGTGGCTCACGCCTGTAATCCCAACACTTTGGGAGGCCAAGGCGGGCGGATCACCTGAGGTATGGAGTTTGAGACCAGCCTGGCCAACATGATAAAACCCCATCTCTACTAAAAATACAAAAATTAGCCGGGCACGGTGGTGGGCATCTGTAATCCCAGCTACTTGAGAAGCTGAGGCAGGAGAATCACCTGAATCCAGGAGGCGGAAGTTGCAGTGAGCCAGGATCATGCCACTACCCTCCAACCTGGGTGACAGAGTAAGACCCTATTTCAAAACATAAACAAAGACAAAAGTGGATTGTTCATCTAATTTTGTTTGCATTATTGCATTCTTAAGTCTAAATTCTAATGATTAGTTAAATGACCAACCGAAGGCATCTCATTCACATCTGAAACTCAAGAGTTGACTGATTTGATTTCTTCTCTACTCCCTGCTTTACCCTTCATTTGGTCATTGAAATGCTTATATTTTATATATTACATACAGTAATATATCATTTAGAATTATTTATATTTTAGAATATGAAATTTGGTAAATTTCAGGAGGCTTGATAGGTGTTACAGATCTTACCTCAATAAATATACTTGAATATCATCTTCTGTATTTAATTGGTATTTTCCAAGGAATAAAAATAGTTGTGAATTAGCAATAGTAAAAATGATAATTACATTTTAAAAAGTAAAAACTTGGAAGAAGTACTTTAAATGATATTGCCATTTTTTTTCCTGTAGATATTTCCTATAGATATTCTGACTTTATGTAAAGCCATTTTTGTATAATGGAACTTTTTGGATAATTCATAGAAACCTTACATCCCCACTTGACATCTTATATTCTAGGAATTAGAAAATATTTTACTTATTTTAGGATTCAAGTACTGTGAGGAATTAAAATTGATATTAAAATCTGTTTATATTCTACATATTGAGGTTTCATTTTAATTGGTCTCACCTATTCCAAAGTTCATTTTAAATTGGACATTATTGGATATAACTAGCATTTGCCATCCTCCACAACAAGACATTAGATAATTTTTCCCTTATTTTGTTTTCACTTTCAACAGATTTAACAGTTGTACAAATCTGTGGTCACTTTCATTGTACCTAGTGGAAACTTCTCTATGGCTCTTCTGAGCGTAGTGGCTGAGAAGAAGCAACTGTAGATTTTTTGGGGATCCTGCTTTTTGACAATCTCTTTGCTCACTCAGTTCTTTTCTGTTTAAAATAATGAGCTTCTCTGTCAGTGACTTGAAGAATTTAAAGTTTGCTTTCATTCCTTAGGATAGCTGATTTTCTGTAGAGAGTAATGTTTGTGAATGGAACTCTCCATAACCACATAAATCCCTTTTTAGGTTAACATAGAAAGGACAAAAATAAATTGGAGGGGGTGATTGAGGACAGGCTTTAGCCTGTAGATCAGTGTTTTTAAATTTGTAGTTTATGATTTTCAGCGGGTCTAAAAATCAGTGGAGGCTAGTGACCAGAACTCTTTCAATATTAAAAGAAAATAAAATATGATAAAAAATATAAAAGTGCCTCCCAGGTTAGTATTTTGGGTCAGAACTTAGATTTCTCTATATGGTAATTGTGTTAAAATATAAAATTTAATAAGCATTGCAGTTAGTTATGAGGATTGCAAGTTGGTTTTAATTAGGAGAATTCCATAACCAGTTTTGCTTTATCTGTAGATGTATGTACATAGATAACATGTATTACTTGCTTTGGCAGAAGTAGGGAAAATGGACTGTGAATGTAAAGTGGACAAAACTAGAGACAAGTAAATCAATTAACAAACTACTGCAATAGCCCAGAGAGAGATAACAAGGTCTTAACTTAGAGGAAGGGGTAATAGAGGCTATGGGAGGGAGACATTTCGAGAGCTGAGAAATAAAATGGGCAATGCTTGATTGCCAGTTCAATATGGGTTGTAAGGAAAGAGTTTAGGGGGATTACCATATTAATAGCCTGGGTGACTAAGAGCCACTGCCAAGAAATTGAATTAAAGCTGTAAACCAAATCTAGGCACAGATGGTGCATTAGTCTATTTTCACGCTGCTGATAAAGACATACCTGAGACTGGGCAGCTTACAGAAGAAAGAGGTTTATTGGACTTAAATTTCCACATGGCTGGGAAGGTCTCACAATCATAGTGGAAGACAGTGGCAGACAAGAGGTAGAAGGTGAAAGGCACATCTTACATGGCAGCAGACAAGAAAAGAGATTGTGCAGGGAAACTCCCCCTTATATTACTGTCAGATCTCGTGAAACTTATTCACTGTCCCAAGAACAGTGTGGGAAAGACCTGCCACTGTGATTCAATTACCTCCTACTGGGTCCCTCCCACAACACATGGAAATTCAAGATGAGATTTGGGGGGAACACAGCCAAACCATATCAGATAAGCAGTAGTGAGTTCAGATTTTCATGTAGTGATTTTTGTAATACCTGTAAATTATTCAAGCATATATATTTAACAACAGGTTGACTCTGTTAACCTTTAGCACTCAGTTAACTAGGGAAATAGATGACATCACCAAATGATACATAGAATAAAATAAGAGTAAGTTCTAGGTAAAATCAATGCTTGAAGAATGGGTAAAGTATGAAGGTCCCCCAACTCAGTCAAGAAGTAATAGTTAAAGAATCATAAGAATCAGAAGTTAAAGTAGCAGAGGGATTCAAGGGGAATGCCCAACAGTGTGAAATGCAGCAGAAAATCAAGAAATAAGGGATGAAAGGTGTGCTTTCGTTTTGGTCATATAGAGGCCATTTACCATAGTAGTTTCAATATGTAAGTGAATGGAAATGCTGTATTTCTGTAGTCTTGAGTGGGAAATGAGAAGTCAGAAAAAAGGAGATGGTAAATGTACATGACTTTTTCTAAAAGCTGAGTAGGGAAAAAGAGAGTGGTTGGTAGAGAGACAGGAAAAGGGTGAGAGTACTCATATCACTTGGTATATATTATTATGCAAGTCTAGATTGATGGATACACATTTCAATATACTTTATATTTTTGATAACTATGTATATAAACTATCCAAGTGTTCCCTTTATTATTAAAATGTCACTCAGCCATATTTTAACGATGCCACCTGAGTCATCATCATTTAATCAAAGTAATAAATATATCAAAATATTACTAGAGTTCAACAAATTGAGTCATACGCCTGCTGTTTCTTGGGTATGAGATAGAAAAATGAGATCTATAAATGAGTTAGAATCTTTTCCTTAAGAGTTTCTTCTTAAGTTGCAGGAGGAGAGGATAGTTAGATAATCAAATAAATTATAATACTGAATAAGTGCAATAATAAAAGTGTGTTTAAAAGAGAAAATGATTTATTCTGTTTGGGCTTGATGTGGTCTGGGAAGGATTTACAGAACCTGGAACAGCAATATGGATTTTAAAGACTGAATAGTTTAGTAGGTATGCAAGTTTGAGTTACAGTCTTCCAGAAGCAGAAAACAATTACCCTGAGACCCAGAACATCAGGTTGTGCTGGGATAATTTAAACCATATACTCATTGCTGGACTCTGTATGCATTACATTTTTCTCTAATTTGGTCCTGAGATCTCTCTCAAGAGTGGCTATAAACTCTAGTCCTGTGTCAATGGGGCTTCAGGGGAGGTGGCCATGGATGTTTACAATGTGCCTTTCATGGAATAGTTCTTCATCTGTGTTGCTGGCCTAATGCTGAAGTGACTAACCTGTGACCAAATGCCCCTCTCAAAGGAAACTTGTTCATAATGGCAGACACCCCTATGGCTCTTAACTAAGCTGTGTCCAATTTATTCCTACCAAGATGCCAGGAGAGTTGGCTAGGAGATCTCTGGCTAGGAGGAGAGTTAGGTTCAGGCATGTCAGTCAAGTGAGACACAAAGGAGGCAACACAATACAACACATGAAATAACAGAAGCAGTGTGTCACTGACAGATTCTAGCGAGAAGGGGCCAGCATGCCTCCAAGGGCCAACAGGAAGCTGGGAGCTGTCTGAGGTGGGAGCTGTCTGAGAAATGTATGTTCAACTAGCTGGTGGGAAGCGAGAGAGAGAGAGAGAGAGACCCATAGGCCAGAGCCTTTACTGGTGTCCAGGCTGTTACCCATTCGGGTTTCCTTTATGGAGTTCTAATTGGTGAGTGTAGAGCAAGGGGGCACTAGCTCAATGGAGTCATGCTGTACTGAGAGGTGCTCCCTGTGGCATATCTGGGCAGTCCATGGGGGACGTGAGGGTCAGTGAGCAAGTCACATAGCTGTGACAAGCTGTCCCATGGGAAGCTGTCACCAGGAGGCAGTTGTATGAGGTTGCTATCTGGATTGATCACTGTAAGGAACAGAGAGGAGGCAGAGAACTGGCAGCTATGCCAAAGGTGGCTAAGCTCTGCTTCTGGCATGAGAATGTTCAATTTATATTTAAAATAGATGCCAAGGTATCATAAAATTATAGGGATTCACTGCAGTGTGTGTGTATTTGTGTATGTGGTTTCCTGAGTGGGTGGGAATTTGTGTGTGTGGGTGTGTATGGG